GACACTAGCTTTGTCGCACTGACTTTAATTGGCTTCGGCCTACTCACTCTCCTCAGGATGACACAAGCTTTGGCCCACTAACAGGCTTCGGCCTACTCACTCTCCTCAGGACCACACTAGCTTTGTCCCACTGACTCTAACAGACTTCGGCTTACTCTTTCCTATCCGGACGACACTAGCTTTGGCCCACTGACTCTAACAGGCTTCGGCCTATTCACTCTCCTCAGGATGACACTAGCTTTGGCCCACTGACTCTAACAGGCTTTGGCCTACACACTGTCCTCAGAATGACACTAGCTTTGGCCCACTGACTCTAACAGGCTTTGGCTTACTCTTTCCTATCAGGACAACACTAGCTTTGGCCAAGTGACTCTAACTGGTTTCGGCTTACTCACTCTCCTCAGGACAATACTTGCATCGGCCCACTGACTCTAACTGGCTTTGGCTTACTCACTCTCCTCAAGATGACACTACCTTTGGCCCACTGACTCTAACTGGCTTTGGCCCACTAGTAGGCTTCGGCCTGCTTACTTTCCTCAGGACGACACAAGCTTTGGCTCACTGACTCTTAACAGGCTTCAGCCTGCTCACTCTCCTCAAGACAACACTAGCATTGGCCAACTAACTCCTAAAGGCTTTGGCCCACTAACTCTAACAGGCTTCGGCCTACTTACGCTCCTCAAGATGACCAGAGGTTGGGAAACACTGATCTAGATGTTCTCCGACTCCCTGCCTGTGAAGGGTCCTTCAAGGCAGGCTGGGCAGATGCAGTGTTCTTGGTTGCAAGTGTTGCGGCTTTAGATAAAGCATAGACTAGCACTTAGTAACAGTAAATGCTTCACAGGTACTTCAGAAAAAAGTGTGCCCACCAAGAGACCTCAGGGATCCAGGCGGGGGGTGCAAGGCTTGGATCAGAGTCCTCACGGTCGCTGCCTGGAGCTGCCAAATCTCACAACGAAGAGCGCCCCAAAGGCCTCCATGCCGAGCGGCCCAAACACACAAGGAGGCATTGCAGGCCCCCGGAAGCGAGTCCCGCTCCCCCTGATGCCAATGTGGCTGGTTACTCTCCTTCAGGGTGACTTACTTAGGCGATCCCTCGTAGTCCGGGGATGATGGTCCTCCAAGTGTAGTATCCTGGCAGTGGGTCCGTAGGTGATTATGGAGCCCTGTTCTTGACCTGCATCTTCTCCCGGAGTGAGGGCATTGGTTTCCAGGTGGAAGGCGGTCCCCGTCGAGGTTGGCTTTACGTGGCTTCCTCTCGGCACGTTTCTCTCTTTCAACCTCCATTCTTGCCTCTTCAAATTCTACAGAACTGCTGGTCATAGCTGACCTCTAGCTGGAGTGCTCAAGGACCAGGGCTTCCCAGTTGAAAGAGCCCATCTTTCAATCTCTTTTCCTGTCCTTCAAGATTCCGTTTTCTGTTCTTGAGTTCGGAGTAGAGCAACTGCTTTGGGAGACGGTGGTCAGGCATCCGGACAATGTGGCCGGTCCAGTGGAGTTGATGATGGTGGATCATCGCTTCAATGCTGGTGGTTTTTGTTTCTTCCATCACACTGACGTTTGTCCGCCTGTCTTCCCAAGAGATTTGCAGGATTTTCCGGAGGCAGCCTGATGGAATCGTTCCAGGAGTTGCATGTGACATCTGCAGACAGTCCACGTTTTGCAGGCGTAGAGCAGGGTTGGGAGGACAATGGCTGTGTAGACAAGCCCCTTGGTCTCCCTACGGATGTCCCAGTCCTCAAACACTCTCTGCTTCATTCGGAAAAAAGCTGTACTTGCAGAGCTCAGATGGTGTTGAATTTCAGTGACAATGTTGACTTTGGTGGAGAGGTGGCTGCCAAGAGGGCGGAAATGGTCCACATTTCCTAATGTTACACCATCAAGCTGTATCTCTGGCATTGGAGAGGGATTGGCTGGTGACTGCTGGAAGAGCACTTTGGTTTTCTCAATGTTCAGTGATGGGCCGAGCTTCTCGTATGCTTCTGTGAAGGTGTTTAGAGTGGCTTGTAGGTCTTCTTCTGAATGCACGTAGATGACATTGTCATCAGCATACCGGAGTTCTATAACAGATGTTGTTGTAACCTTGGTTTTGGCTTTCAGTCTGCTGAGGTTGAATAGCTTGCCATCTGTCCGATAGATGATTTCCACTCCGGTGGGAAGCTTCCCATCAACAAGATGAAGTATCATAACGATGAAGATGGAGAATAACGTTGGGGCAATAACACATCATTCCTGTTTGATACCTTCAGGGTGAAGCTGGCGCTGGTCAAGATGGGCGAAGTGAGCAAGAAGCAGCAGGAGCACACGCGGGACGCCCGCTTCTTGCAGCAAAAGCTGGTCAAGATCAAGGAGGTGAGGGCCTCGGAGCAGCAACGGGGCTTGTTGAGTGCCTGCCTACCTTACTTTGTGGGGTTAGTCTGTTCCTGCTGTGGCATTGAACCTGAGGACCCTTTCCTCCTCACCCCTTGTCTCTGGGGAGATCCTTGGAAAGCTGAAAATCTGCCTCCTGGGGGTTAGTTGGGATGAAGACCCATCAGTGCTGGGCATCCTCCTTCCATGACTAAATACTAGGGCAACCACGGAAAAAATTGTTTCTAAACTCGATTCGTTTTTAGGGGGTTTTTGCGTTTTGATTTTTAAATTAATTCCGAAATTTTCCTTTAAAAAATTTCTGTATTTACGAAATTACGAATCAATTACGAATCGATTTTGAAACAATTACGAATCGATTCGTTAATGGCGGGCGCGATCGCGCAATACGCTAAAAAAACCTCCAAATGGGACAGGAAGCTTCCCTCTCCCTCTGTTGTTGACTGTTGGTGTGATAATTTATTTTTTTTTTCACTGAGAAAACAAACAACGACTATAAAACTTGCACCAGACATGCGGAAATAATAACGAAACGATTTCGAATCAATTACGAATCGATTTCGAAACAAATACGAAACAATTACGAAACGAATTGAAAAAATTCGTTTCGTTTTTTTAGTTGCTCCTGAGTGGTTCAATATCGCTTCGTTATAAAAAAAATAACGAATTAATAACGAATTACGAAATTAACAAACGAAACCGCCCAGCCCTACTAAATACCCTTTGTGCTCACGGCCACCGAGGAGGCCATTACAGCCACTTGTGCCACTGGGCATGGGGTCCTGTCAGGCCCAGTGTATGCCTCACCCCGTCTCTCTTGCAGCAAATGGTTCAGAGCCAGCGGGAAATTGAGCGGGAGCAGGAGGTGCTGCGGCAGCAGGAGAAGGAGTGCCAGGAGTACGAGGCCCGCATCGAGGCCCTGACCCAGGAGAGGGAGGTCCTGGAGAAGGAGAAGGAGACGGCCATGAAGAAGGTGCTCCCGCCTCGCTCTGGGGCTCCGTGGGGCTGGGGCTGCGGGGAGGGGGCTCCTCAGCTCCACCTTGAGGGAGGGAGGAACTGTCTCAAATACTTTTCTGCACCTTAGAAATGTATTTCATGTTGGGTGAATAGTCATGACCCAGAACCAGTAGCCAGTATAAGATGAAATAAAAACATATACAGACATTCTGTCCTCCATGCTTTTTAACATCTACATGAAACCGCTGGGTGAGGTCATCCAGAGTTTTGGAGTTGGGTGCCATCTCTACCCAGATGACGCCCAACTCTACTACTCGGGTGCTGGACAAGTGCCTGGCTGCTGTGGCTGTCTGGATGTGGAGGAACAAGCTGAAGATCAATCCCGACAAGACAGAGGTCCTCCTGGTCGATCGTAAACCGGATCGGGGTATAGGGTGGCAACCTGTGTTGGACGGGGTTACACTCCCCCTGAAGCCACAGGTCCGCAGTTTGGGTGTCCTCCTGGATTCTTCGCTTACGCTTGAGGCTCAGGCGTCGGCGGTGGCCGGGAGGGCCTTTGCACAATTAAGACTCATGCGCCACCTGCGACCGTACCTCGCAAAGGCTGATCTGGCTGGGGTGGTCCATGCCTTAGTCACCTCCAGACTGGACTACTGTAATGCACTCTACGTGGGGCTGCCCTTGAAAACAGCCCAGAAATTTCAGTTGGTCCAACGGGCGGCGGCCAGGTTGTTAACTGGTGCTCCTTACAGGAAGCGGTCAACCCTCCTGTTTAAGGAGCTCCACTGGCTGCCGTTCATTTTCCGGTCCCAATTCAAGGTGCAGGTGCTTACCTACAAAGCCCTGAACGGTTTGGGACCCGCCTACCTGCGTGACTGCATCACTGTGTACGAACCCACACGATCTCTTCAATCATCTGGAGAGGCCCTGCTCACGATCCCACCTGCGCGATTGATGGGGACAAGGAAGAGGGCCTTCTTGGTGGTGGCCCCTCAACTCTGGAACTCACCCCCAAAGGACATTAGACAAGCCCCAACTCTGGCAGTCTTTAGGAGGAGCCTGAAAATGTGGTTGTTCCAGTGTGCCTTCCCAGAATAAGGAAACTCCCAGCAATATGTCCTTAAACACACTTTAATAATGATTTTAGATTGTCTTCTTTTAAAAAATGGTTGTCTGAAATCATGTAAACATATGTGTATTGTTGAAGGCTTTCATGGCCGGAATCACTGGGTTGTTGTAGGCTTTTTCGGGCTGTATGGCCATGTTCTAGAAGCGATCTAGCATGCTTCTAGAACATGGCCATACAGCCCGAAAAACCTACAACTAAACATATGTGTTTATACCAAAAGTTCCCAGGACAGTTATTGTCAGCAGTTCACATTTCCTCCATCAGCCCTTTCCACGTCACAATTAATTCTTCACCTCCTTTGTTTCTCCATAATATAGTTTTTGAGGTTTTCCCATCATGGTCAACTGTGAATTGCACATATGGATGTGGTTTTCCATGCTGCCACATGGTGGAAGCCGCTTACCTTCATGTCCCACTAGAAATTGGATGTCTCCTCCAAGAGGGATGCTTCATTTGGAAGGGCAGTCCTCTTCTCTGCAGTGGCATGATGCCCACCAGCCAGGGTTAATAGCTCGCTAGTCTACCATATGTGCGATTCACAGTTGGCCGCGATGGAAAAATATAGGTTGTTTACCTGTAAGTGTAGTTTCCAAGTGGTCACCTGTGAATTTGCACATCCCCGCCCATCCTCCCCACTTGTCATGCCTCCTTTCTCTGGCTGCATTTTGCGGCGAAAGAGAACTGGAGGCTGTAGCTCTTCCCATTGGCTATATGTACTCTCGGGGGAGAGTGGGCGGGGCTACCACCAAAAATGTTTAACACCAAGGTAAGCGGCGTGGACCATGTGGCAGCACGGCAAACCACATCCATATGTGCAAATTCACAGGTGACCACTCGGGAAACTACAGTTACAGGTAAGCAACCTATATTCCAATGGTGTCTTCAGCTTTAGCAGGTCTTAATAGGCCCTTAGCCTGACCCTCAATCGTGCAATTTCTTTCAATTCACTCGTGACAGGACAGCTGCCCTCCCTCAAGGCCTCCTCTTCTCTTCCCTGCTCTCCTCTCTTCAGGTGCGCCACGACTACCAGACTGCCGTGGCCATGCTGCACCCGCAGGATGTGGAGGAACTGCGTAGCTACCGCCAGCCCCCAGCCACTGTGGTCAGGGTGACGGACATGCTCTGCCTGATGTTCCAGGAGGAGCCGGGATGGGAGAGCGCCAAGGTGCTCCTCAACAGGGAAGACTTCTACCAGGTGAGGAAGACAGGAGCGCTTCCGCGGAGACTCTCTAGCTGGTGGCCATGGGCTAATTGCACAGTGCTGCCCCATGCCTCTACAGCTTGAGCCCTAAAAGTGTGGGCAAGCACCTAGCATGGTCCATGAAACTGGCAAAGCAGGAGCTGGATGGAAAAGCCAGGAGGGTCCAAACTCTTTGTGATACTCTAGGCCTCTCAATGCTCTGGGCCTCTCAACTAGTATGCATGTCAATAGCCTTTGGGCCTATGGCAATCCCCTCAATGTCACAGCAGGCCTTTCTTACGCAAGGAGCTGTCAGAGGCGGTTTGCCATCGCCTTCTTGCCTGCTGTGCTCAGGCATCCTCCCATCCAAAGACTAGCCAGGCCTGAACCAGTGCAGGTGCCGCTTCCAAGGTCACACAGAACCTGAAGCCTTCAGGATATTAAGCCTCCCATGGGAGACATGGGTCAGCGGGTGCAGTGGGACTCTTGGAAGCCCCGGGTCTCACTCGCCCTGAGTGGTCTTGGGCAAGTCTTGCGTTCCCTCGCTCAGGAGTGTGTGATGTGCTCCTTATGTAACAGGGAGCCTTGTCCCAGGGAGGCCAGGAGCAGGGCTGTGAGCCGCACATGGGGCTTGTATGCCGTTGGCCTTCACGCCCATGGCTCAGCTTGCGTACCTTGTGCTCCTCCCCAGGACCTGATCTTCTACCCAAAAGAGAACCTCTCCATGGAGCTCTTCAGGGCGCTGGGCCAGGCGCTGGCTGCGGAGGGCTTCACCGCAGAATTCCTCCGGAACACCAGCCAAGCCGTGGCAGCCCTCTGGCAGTGGATCTCTGCCATTTACCGGTACCATTCTGCGCTGCGCAACTGGCAACCGGCCATGTTGCAGCTGGAGCGCTGCGACGTGCAACTCAACACAGAAAAAATTCAACTGGGCGACCGGCGCCTGCACACGGAGCAGCTGAAGGAGGCCACGCGGACCCGGATCCAGGAGCTGAAGGAGAAGCAGGAGCGGCAGGAGAAACTGGTGCAGCAGCTCACACAATCCTTGCAGGCCAAGGAGGAGGCCTCCACGGTGGAGAGTTCTGTGGCAGAGCACCTGGTCAACTGGACCACACTCATCAAGGTGAGGGTCTAGGAGGAGCCCTGGGGCCTCAAGCGCAGCCTGGTGAGCTCGCCCTCAGAGTTCCTGAGCATGCACTCCCCTTCTGCCGCAGAGCCTGGAGCACTACCGCAGCACCGTGTATGGGAACGCGCTGCTGTGTGCAGCCACCGTCTCCTACCTGGGCCCCTTCCCTTCATCCCGTCGGGAGGAGCTTCTGGAGAAGTGGCAAGCACTATTGGCCGGCTGCGAGGTCCCCCTGGAACCGGATGACATCTACCGGACCCTGCAGGCGGGTCTGCCCTGCCCTGGCCCGGCCCCCATCAGCCCCCCGTTGCTGGAGACTCAGCAGCCACTAGACGTGCTTTCCCTGCTCAGCTCCCCTGGGGAGCAGCGCATCTGGGATCGGCTCCACAAGCCCAAGGACCCGGAGAGCCGCCTCATGGCCACAATCCTGCTCTCAAGCCTTCACGCACAAGCCCACCGGTGGCCCCTCTTGGTGGACCCCGACAGGCAGGCCCACATCTGGCTCCTCTCGACTTCTGTGCTAGAACAGCGTGAGTGGAGGCACACAACGGTTAGGCGGGTGGGCCAGGAGCCTCCCCAGGGACCGCTCAGCACTGACCCTGCCTCCTCTCACCAGAGGAATCCCAGGCCTATATCCTTGCGGAGCTTGTGCCGGAGATGGCAGAGCAGGGCGGTTGGGATGAGATCCCAGAAAACAACCTGGAAATCCTGTCGCTCACTGACCTTGATCTAGAGGACAGCCTCCGGAAGGCCATCAGCCAGAGTGAGTGGGCCAGGATGGGCCTTGGTGGGGGGATGGTAGGGGCCACATGGGACCCTCCTTTGGTGCCCAGGGCGGGTGAGAGTGCTCCCTGGGCACCCTTGCAGACGCGCCAGTGCTGCTGCTGAACTTCGAGAAGAACGTCCCATGGTGTCCGACCCTGCGGCAGCTGATGCAGAAGGAGTCCTTCCGGGGAACAGAGGGCGTTGTCCTCCCTGCCAAGCCGGGGGAGCTGCAGCTGGAGAAGGAAGAGCAAGCGGAGGTGGAGTTGAAGCTGCTCCCTTCCTTCCAACTGTACCTCTGCACTGAGCTTCCTTTAGAGGCTTTGGCTGCAGGTAAGGGCACCCCACTGTCAAGACCTGCGGGAGGCAGGGGATTGGGGCCACCTGGCTGAGGGGATGGCCGAGGAGACACTCCTAGGCTTCCTTGCGAAATCCCTCTTGGTACCGTTGGGCCATTGGTTCCTGCAGTTGAGTCCCCCTGCGAAGGTGGAAGGGTCAGAAGGGCAAATTGACAGGTGAGGTCTCTTTGGACTCCCAAGAGATCATGGACCTTGGAGATAAAGGAGGGAGGCAACATAGGGCTGGGCGATTTTGTTCGTTAATTTCGTAATTCGTTATTAATTCGTTATTTTTTTTGATAACGAAGCGATATTGAACCATTCAGGAGCAACTAAAAAACGAAACGATTTTTTCAATTCGTTTCGTAATTGTTTCGTATTTGTTTCGAAATCGATTCGTAATTGATTCGAAATCGTTTCGTTATTATTTCCGCATGTCTGGTGCAAGTTTTATAGTCGTTGTTTGTTTTCTCAGTGAAAAAAAAATAAATTATCACACCAACAGTCAACAACAGAGGGAGAGGGAAGCTTCCTGTCCCATTTGGAGGTTTTTTTAGCGTATTGCGCGATCGCGCCCGCCATTAACGAATCGATTCGTAATTGTTTCGAAATCGATTCGTAATTTACGAAATTTTGTAAATATAGAAATTTTTTAAAGGAAAATTTCGGAATTAATTTAAAAATCGAAACGCAAAAACCCCCTAAAAACGAATCGAGTTTAGAAACAAATTTTCCCGTGGTTGCCCAGCCCTAAGGCAACAAGATGTCACCTGCCAGTGGGGACCCCGAGTGGGGGGTTCTGCATTGAACTGGGCAACGCGCCGGAGCTCAGAAAGAGGGGATACTCCAAGGGTTCCCTGCCTCCTGCCCTGTGGCTCCTGCCCAGGGGTCAGCATATCAGCCAGTGGACTCATGGCCTCTTGACCAGCCTGTGGCTAAGCACCCCACCCTTGTGTCCTCCTCCTCCCCTTCACAGAGGTGGACCAGGCAGTTCTGAAGAGCCTGAACATGATTGACCTCAGTCTGAGCCCGAAGGCACTGGAGAACCTGTTGCTGGGGGAGGTGCTGAAGGCCGAACGCCGGGAGACCCTGAAGAACCGGCAGGCTTTGCGTCTAGCTCTCCTGCACCTGGAGAGCAAGCTGGAGGCCACAGAGGTGGGGGGGGGGGAAGAGGAGGACAGGAGAGGGCCAGGACTACTGCCCCCAGCCTTCTGTCAAGGCCCCTTGCCCCAGGCCACTTCCTCACTGGTCCTGGCTTCCCCTCCACAGGAGGAGCTGCTGGAGCTGATCTCGCAGCCTCAGCGGTCGCTGCTGGAGGAGGAGAACTTCATGCCGATGGTGCGCCTCCTGCAGACCCAGATCCAGGCACTGAAGGCCACCCACCAGCACATGGCTGCCCAGCACCGGGACCAGGCCGCAATCTGCGACAACTACCGGCGTGTGGCTCGGGTCGGGGTGGCCCTGCACCAGGCACTGCAGCAGGTGGCCCGCCTGCACCCACTCTACCGATTCCCCTGCGAGACCTGTATCGAGTGGGTGCGCCAGGCGCTGGCTGCCACCAAGCGCCAGCAGGACGCCAGCAAGAAGGAGACGCTGGAGGCGCGGCTACTGGAACTGAGCAAGGCCGTTCTGCGGCAGCTGCAGACCCAGGCCCTGCCCAGCCTGCGGGAGATAGACAGGCCCCTCTACCGCTTCCTGGGGTCCCTGGTCACCCTGCAAGGAGCCAGCCCGGGGGCACAGGCCCTCAGCCCCGTAGAGTGGCTAGCCTTTTGTGGGGGGCTGCGGGAGCCAGCCGCCAAAGCTCTGCTGCTGCTGCCAGAAGAGGAGGAGGAGGAGGGAAAGGGTGGCCCCCCATCCCCCAACTGGGTGGCCCCGGGGCCCTGGGAGGAGTGCCATGCGCTGGAGCAGCTGCCGGGATTCCAGGGGCTGCGGGCCTCATTGGTGGAGCAGGGCACACAGTGGCAGGAGTACCTGCGGCTGCCCTCCACGGTGGTGGGCCCTGCCCTGTGCCCCAGCCATGCCCACCTGGGCCCTTTCCAGCGTGCCATCCTGTGGCGTGTGCTGCGCCCCAACACCGTGAGCCAGGTCATGGCGCACTTGGCCACCTGCTTGCTGGGCTGGTCTCGGACGGATGAGACAGAGGCCGCCAACCCTCACGCCTGCAGCCGTCCCAATCGGCCCATCATCTTCCTCACCCCTCCCGCCGAGTCGGATGGCTCCTTCACCCTGCCTGTGCTGTGGATCCAGCAGCTGGCCGCCCAGCGGAAACGGGCGGTGAGGCCGTTGGGGCTTGGCTTCTCGGGGAGGGGGCTGGCACTGGGCCGCCTTGGATGGCTCCCTCCCTCCCTCCCTGGGGGCTCAGCCTGGGTTCTGCCTTGCAGGGGAAGGTGGTGGTCATCTCCTTCGGCACTCCCGGCGCTGCCCGGCGCGTGTGGCGGACGCTCCCGGTCACCACCAAGAAGGGCAAGTGGCTGGTCCTGACCAACTGCCACCTCCAGGCCCAGTGGGACCCTGATGTGCTCCTCCAGTTCAACCAGCTGCTGAACACACCGACGAGTAAGGGCTGGAGGGGAGTGCTGTTCAGGAGCCCCCTCCCTCCCTCCCCCTCCATTTATCTCCCCCTCCCCTTGGCTCCACAGTCTGGAGGCCCACCCCTGCGCTCTTCCCCATCCAGGTGTGGCAGAGCACCAGACCTTGGAAGTCCACCCCAAGTTCCGCCTCTGGCTCATCACAGCAGCCAATGCCCCCGAGTCGGTGCCAGGTACAGGGCAGGAGGCCGAAAGGGGCGCTGAGGGGAGCCTGAGTTTGGGCGGTGCCTGGAACAAGGCCCCATCATCTCCGGCACAGAAGGGACGAGCCCTCTCGCCTGGCCACTGGATCTGCCCCTCTCTGACCCAGGGCCCGTCCACCGCAAGGCTGCCATCTTCTTCTGCGAGGAGCCGCTGGAGATGAAGGGCATCCTGATGCGCACACACCAGCGGCTGCAGGGCCAGATGCACCGCCTGGACACCAAGAAGACCCTCGCCTTCCTCGTCCTCCACGCCATCCTGGTTTTCCGGCAGAACTACAGCCGCTGGACCCAGGCCGCTGTGTACCTCTGGTGAGAAAGGGGGGTGAGGCCCAGTCGGTGGTGGTCCAGAACGGAAACCCTCAGTCGAGAAAAGGCCATCCTTTGGTGGGCTCAGTGTGTAAGATTGTCTCTCAATTGAAGTGGGTGGCCAGGGGGGCAGGAGGCTGAATTATGGTAGTACCCCCCCCCCCCACAACACACCCAAGGCATCCCAGTGGAATAGTCTTCCCTAAGGGTAGAAGCAGCTCCACTCCTGGTGTGTCTGGTGGCACAAAGGAGGCGGGTCCAGGCCATCGTGTTCCTGGTCCACCTCAGTGCATGTGGATGTGTCTCCTGCCAGGAACCACGGAGAAGTGTCCCAGGGACTCCACATGAAAGAGAGGCTCAGACGGCTGCCTGAGAGGCCTTCGCGGGCTATGCAGGAACTGGCAGGTAGGTAGGTAGGAGGGGAGGCCCAAGCGTGGGCAAGACGGCTAGATCATAGAATCAAAGAGTTGGAAGAGACCTCCTGGGCCATCCATTCCAACCCCATTCTGCCAAGAAGCAGGAATATTGCATTCAAATCACCCCTGACAAATGGCCATCCAGCCTCTGCTTAAAAGCTTCCAAAGAAGGAGCCTCCACCACACTCCGGGGCAGAGAGTTCCACTGCTGAACGGCTCTCACAGTCAGTGAACGGCTCTCACAGATCAGCCCCTTCCTCCCATAGTTCTTAATAGCTTAGGCTGACCTGGCTCTCTAGGGGTTGGAGTGGGGTTGGGGTGGGGTTAGCATGCCTGACCATGGCTACTCGACACCTTCTTTGGGCCTCTGTAGGGATCATGCTCTACGGTGGTCACGTCCTGGACAGTGGAGATGCCGCGGCCATAGAGAGCCTGTGCCGTCAGTGCCTTGCGCCCGGTGCACACCTACAGCCGGGCAGCGGCCCCCAAAGGATCCTGGAGCTCGTCATTGGCCCCCCTACTGCAGGTAAGGGAAGGGAAGGAGGAGACGGAGAGGGGGCGCCTCGAGCCTCTCCCCAACCCGCCCTCGTCCTCTGCCTTGTCTCCCCAGGGCTCTCGGAAGAGGAGGCCTCGGCTGCCACACAGGCCCGCATTGCGCAGCTGCCCAGCCCCATGGAGGCCTCCTGGGTGGGGCTGTGCAGCGGGCTGCGGCAGGAGATGCAGGCGGCACACAGCCAGGCCTTGCTCTTGGCGCTGTGGGCCTCCCAGGGCCTGTGGCAGCCCCCCGTGCCCCTCCTCCAGCGGCAGCAGCAGGAGCAGCGGGAGGCCCTGGAGCTCTTTGTGCGCAAGGGGCTGGCGCTGGCGCAGGAGCTGCAGGAGCAGCTGGAGCGCTGCGGGTGGGAGGCGGGGGAGCGCGGGTGCCCCCCTAAAGGCCAGGCCCGCCCCCGGCCCCGCCCCCTGCAGCGCTTCCTCCTGGAGGAGGGGGGCACCCTGCTGGCCCTCCTGAAGCAAGTGGGCCGGGACCTGCGCTGCGTGGAGGGCCGCCTGCAGGGGGAGTCCTGCTCTTCTGTTCGCTGCGGAGCCATATTCCGGAAGCTGCTCCGGGGCCAGATGCCCAAGCCCTGGCTGCCCTTTGCACCCACCGGCCCCCAGCCGCCTCGGCTATGGCTGGAGACCCTGCGCCAGCGCTGCCGGCTGCTCTGCCGGTACTTGGCCTGCATTGGGGGCCACCCGGTGACCCACTTCCAGCTGGCCGCCTTCCACCGGCCCCGCCACCTCTTCCTGGCCGTGCTGCAGGAGCGGGCCCGCACCGAGAAGCAGGCGGTGGACTGCTACCAGCTGGAGCAGAAGGTGAGTGAGGGCTGCGGGGACAGGGCTGCAGATGGCCCTCCCCTGGCCTTGGTCCTGACCCAGCTTGGTGTCCGCAGGTCCTGCCGGGGGTGCTCCCTCCCAGCGAGGCTCCCGAGAGGGGCGTCTACCTGAGCGGCCTGGAGGTGCACCACGCCATGTGGCACAGCCGCAGTGGGTTGCTCCAGGAGACCCTCTCGGCCCAGCCCTGCCGCCTGCCCACCGTCTGGGTCCAGCCCATCCGCCGGCCCTGGAAGCGGACCTCCTTGCACCCCACCTATCTGTGCCCGGTGTACCTGGGGGCGCCCGAGATGCCCGTGCTGCTCGACAGCCGGCAGGTGATCATGCACCTGCCCCTGCCTTGCAAGATGGCTCCGGAGCTGTGCGCCCAGCGGCGGGTGTTTGCCGTCAGCCTCTTGCAGTGAGAGCCCCGGAGGCAGGAAGACAGGACCGTTGCCATAGTGGATGTTACACTAGTACAAATAGTAGAAGCAGGAGTAGTAGTAGCACCCCACTTTCCAGACTCTGCCGATTGAAAGTCCCCCCCTTGCACCCAAGGCAATGCAATGATCCCAATTGAGGGGTGGGGTGGGGGTAGGGAGTGGAAGGGGATTAGCACAAGCAAGCTGAGAACTAGATACAGAAATAAAGTGATATATTTTTGCGTGTGTACAAAAGCCAGCTCTGGTGCTTGCCCACCTGCCAGCCACTTTGGGCCCCTGATGTGCCCAGCTACATAAATAAGGTGCTCCCAGAGGCACCCCCACCCTCCCTCCCTCCCTCCTGAGGTGCCTGTCCCGCAGGCCCTCGCCCCGCCCCGCCCTCATTTCAAGTCCACGTCAAAGTCCAGCACCAGCAGCTTGGTTTCCTCGGTGCCGTTCCGGCTGCCCACCGCACAGACCAGTTTTGTGTTGGAAGCGCGGATGCGCCAGACCACCCCTCCGCTGCCCCCGCTCTCCAGGGCCACCAGGTTGCGCACAAAGTCCCCCGTCTTCAGATCCCACAGCTTGACCGTGCCGTCGTCCGAACTGGTCACCACGAACTTGGAGCTGAACTGGAGGCAGGTGACGGCACTCTGGTGTTTGCTGGGACCTGACGAGGGATGGAAGGGGGAAAGCCGGTCAGGGCCCTGAAGGACGGAGCAGGCCGGGTGGAAGGGCCGTGGAGCAAGCCTCACTGGACGATTGAGGGAAGAGCGGCCCTTTCAGAAAAGAGCTCATTGCCAGTGGAGACCTGGGCCAGAACGGTGTCCCCTTCAACGTCCGGCGGCCCAGCCAACAGAGTCCACTAGCCCCTCTGTATTTGGTCCATGACCATTTCCTGTGTCCTTTGTAGTACTGGGGCAGGCGTCACGTGTTGGGGAGGAGACTGGGAGCAATGCCATGTGCAATGCTCATGCTTGAGACCGCCCTCCTACTTCTTCCCCGAATTCCTACCTTGCAGCGTTTGTAAACACTGTCCGGTTTTGATGTCCCAGATTTTGACCGTGGAATCGGCATTGCCGGAAACCAGGATGTTGTCGCGCAGCTCCATGCCGCTGGTCAGGGACTGGTGGCCCATCAGCGTGTGCAAGCAGTTGCCGCTCTCGGCGTCCCATACACGGATGGAGGTGTCCAGGGAGCCGCTCACAATGTGGGTGCCATCGAACTGTGTGGGAAAAGGGCAGGGACAGTGGGCGGCTGGGAGGGGCTGGAAGCACAGAATGGGCGCAAGGGCGGGGGGTCCTCCCTCACCTGCAAGGAGTAGACCCGGTTGGTGTGGCCTTGCAAGGTGTGGATGCAGCTCTCCGTCTCGGGGTCCCAGACCTTGACGGTGTAATCGTAAGCACCGCTCACCACCTTGTGCCCGTCGTACTGGACGCAGCGCACGGCGGCCACGTGGCCCATCAGCACGTGCAGGCACTGCCCCGTCTCAATGTCCCACAGCCGCAGGGTGGCGTCCCGTGACCCGCTCACGACCCTGTCGAGCAAAGGAGGGAGGGAGGGAGGGCGCACTGAATCCCCAGCGGCCAAAAAAAGTTGCATTGTCAAGCTACCTTCGAAGGGGGAGTCTCCTACCTGGTCTCCCCTTTGACCCACCTTGTCCCGTGGAGATGCATGCAGCGCACGGTGGAGGTGTGTCCGTAGAGGGTGTGTACGCACTCGCCCGTGTCGGCGTTCCACACCTTCAAGGTCCTGTCCGTGGAGCCACTGATGACGATGTTGTCTCTCATCTGGGAGGACCAGACCCCGCCGGTGTGGCCCACCAGCGTCTGGACGCACTGTAGGGGAAGGAAAGGATGCTAAGACGGAGAACAGCGGCCACGCCACGAGCAGCACCATGCGCAAATAGGACAGCCCAGGGGCAAGGGGGGGGGCTCACCTCACCCGTGACGGCTGACCAAACCTTGAGCGTGTTGTCGTCGGAGCCGCTGACGATGCGGTTGCCGCAGAACTGAAGGCAGGTGATGACGTGGTCGTCGTGGCCCTTGAGGACCTGGGAGGCGAGTGGGGGGCATCAGGGGAGGGGAGGGGCACCACTCCTTGAGGAAGGGCCCAGCAAAAGCTTCCCCCGGAAAGACCCTCCACATCCTACACGACAGGGTGTTGCACGAGAAGGCTCCTATGATGGCATGATCCCCCACAACAGTTTGCCCCTGCACTCCTCCATCCCTGCCCCCCCCCCCCCCCCAGTCCCATTTGCCCAAGGAAGTGTGGATCCCAATCCGGGCACCTCTTGACAGCCAGACGGAATCCCTTACCTACCTTGGGCGGGTGGGCGTCCCCGCTGCGCCAGTTCATGTCAATGCAGTGTTGGCGCAGGAAGGCCAGCTTCCAGGGGCTGTACATGAATCCGGGGCTGAGCAAACGCCGCTTGCGCACACTCAACGGCTCTTCGATTCCTGCGTGTGGGGGGGGGGGGGGGGGAGAGCATATCAGAAATATTAAAACTTAACGAGGTATTTTGGATTACAAAAGTGTCAGTCAAGCACTGAAAGAGTGAGTAGGCCGAAGCCCATTAAGAGTCAGTGGGCCAAAGCTAGTGTGGGCCAAAGTTAGTATGGTCAGTGGGCCAAAGTTAGTATTGTCCTGAGAATAAGTAGGCAAAAGCCTGTTAAGAGTCAGTGGACCAAAGCTAGTGTCGTCCTGAGGAGAGTGAGTAGGCTGAAGCCCATTAAGAGTCAGTGGGCCAAAGCTAGTGTGGGCCAAAGTTAGTATGGTCAGCGGGCCAAAGTTAGTATGGCCATTGGCCCAAAGTTAGTATCGTCCTGAGAGTAAGTAGGCCGAAGCTCATTAAGAGTCAGTGGGCCAAAGCTAGTGTGGGCCAAAGTTAGTATGGTCAGTGGGCCAAAGTTAGTATCATCCTGAGAGTAAGTAGGCCAAAGCCTGTTAGGAGTCAGTGGGACAAAGTTAGCGTTGTCCTGAGGAGAGTGAGTAGACCGAAACCCATTAAGAGTCAGTGGGCCAAAACTAGTGTGGGCCAAAGTCAGTATGGTCAGTGGGCCAAAGTTAGTATCGTCCTGAGAGTAAGTAGGCCGAAGCCTGTTAAAGAGTCAGTGGGCCAAAGCTAGTGTCGCCCTGAGGAGAGCGAGTAGGCCGAAGCCCATTAAGAGTCAGTGGGCCAAAGTTAGTATCGTCCTGAGAGTAAGTAGGCCAAAGCCTGTTAAGAGTCAGTGCGCCAAAGCTAGCGTTGTCCTGATGAGAGTGAGTAGGCCAAAGCCAGTTAGAATCAGTGGGCCCAAGCTAGTGTGGTCTTCAAGTGTGAGGTGTGAAGTGAAGTGTGAGTCTGTGTGTGAGAAGCTTCGGTGAAAGAAGCCCCAGGATAAGGCCTTGTGTGTAAAAGTATGTGAAGCTCCTGTGTAATTGCGTTGTGAGAGGAGGCTCTGTTTAGCTGCCTGAGGAAGAAGCCCAGCACGGAAGCAAAGAAGGAAGTAGAAAGGATTTTGTGCTGTGCGAACCTTGTTATTGTAAATAGTACATCTATATTATTTTACTTTGTGCGACTGGTGCTGGGTCACGCCGCTGCTGGCAAGTTCCTCTGCTGTTCATTTATGAGGAGGGTCTTTTGTGAATAAGCCCACTCGCCACGAGGAGCAGAGGCACAGAGAGGGGGAAGAGGGAAGGAAGCGGGACTCACCCGCCTCGCGGCACTTCTCCCTCCAGAGCAGGTTGTCCTCCGCCAGGATCCGCCAGTAGCGACACGTCTGCGCAGCGCGGAGCAGGTCGCGGGGCTCCAGGAAGGAGAGCACGTACAGCGCCAGCTGCGAGGGAAGCCAGAGGCGCCACACTTACCTTTGGCAGCCCCACGGCTGCAGGGGGGCCCCTCAGTACAAGGTTCCCAGGGGGACATGCTTCCCCTCCTTTGCCTCAACCCTTCAAACCGTAGGGCTTCTCAGGCAGCACTGGTGGGGCTGGTTTTACTGAGAGCCCTGGACCTGAGCCCTGCCACACCCCCTCGTGACCAAAATGGGGTCTGCTTTTGCTCTGCCCCTCCCTTTGCCAATGCAGACAGATCCTGATCCTTTAAGCCCCCCAACATTCCTCCACTAATGCTCACCATGCTGCTTCCGCTTCTTCTGGCCTCTCCCTTGAGAATGGCGGAGACCCCCCCCCCCCAAGCAGGGCCTTTGGGCAGCGGAGAGGGACATCCCCCACTTGCCCCACATGTCTCCCCACGCCCCCGCGCACTCCACTCACCTCCTTGGGCAGAAGCGAGATGAAGTCCCGCTGGAACTGGGGCTCGATCACCTGCATCATGTGCTTGATCTGGGGGGGCTCACAGCGGTCAATGAGCTCGTCCAGAGCCAGGAGCTTCTCTGAGCTGCTCCAGCGCTGCAAAGGGGGGAGGGACACCAATGAGAGAGGGACCCCCAATGAGGAGAGAGAGAGCATGCCTTTCCTCTCCATCCCACTGATGGCGCAGAGGGAACGGCCCCACTTACCTCTCCGAACGCATCTCCACCTATGAACCGGCGAGGTTGTTAAGATCGTCTGGAGAGGCCCTGCTCTCGGTCCCGCCAGCGTCACAGGTGCGGCTGGCGGGAACGAGGGACAGGGCCTTCTCAGTGGTGGCCCCCCGGCTATGGAATGCCCTACCAGTGGACATCAGGCAGGCCCCTTCGCTATTGGCGTTTAGGAGGAGGGTTAAGACGTGGCTCTTCGAACAGGCGTTCGGATAAATATGCAATTAACAACTGACTCAGGAATGACGGCACATTGAACAAGGAATGGTAATACGACTGTGAGATCGAGATCTGATTCTAATGAGGCGTGATGATTTTTATGTGTATTGTTTGTGTATGTTTGTTATATAGATTGTTCAGTGTTGCACATTTTATTGTAAACCGCTTCGAGTCGCCTTTTTAGGCTGATATTTGCGGTATACAAAAGAAGTAAATAAATAAATAAATAAATAACAGATAAGCCGAGGAGGCTAGTCAAGCCCACGGACGGTTGCCTCTTCCTCTCTGTCCATGCATGTCACTACAAGGCGCAACCTTTGGAAATCTGGGCAGAGAGTCTCGATGCGCAAATCCCGGGCTTAAGGGGCAAAACAATGGAGGGAAGAGTTGGCTCTATGGAAGGTGCTGCCAGGAACAACTGGGCTTCTTGGACCATGTTCTGCAGATCCATGAAGATAATAATAATAATAATAATAATAATAATAATAATAATAATAATCTTGATTTATACCCTGCCACCATCTCCCCCAACAGGGACTCGGGGCAGCTTACGTGAGGCCAAGCCTAATCACCATATTACAGCAAAATAAAACCAAAAACCTAAGCGACAAGCGACAACATCATGATTACATAAAAACATATGAATACATTAACAATACAACATTACAATAAGCACAATCACGGTGATAGTGGGCGGGCCACATGTGCAGGGTAAAATGTTTTAAAACCCGGGTGAGATAAGAAGAGGAGCAAGTTATTTGCAAGAGGGAGCTCATAAAAAACAGGATTGTGGAACCGAGCTTTCCCAGGGGCGTGTACTCCAGTGAAGCACCTGCCTCTACATCCCACCTCATGACTTAAGATCATCCGGGGAGGCCCTTCTCTTGCTCCCGCCAACATCACAAACGTGGCTAGCAGGGACGAGAGACAGGGCCTTCTCGGCTGTAGCCCCCCACCTGTGGAAAGCGCTTCCAAATGAAATACGATCGACCCCATCCCTCCTGGCGTTCAGGAAGAAATTAAAATCTTGGTTTTGGGACCAGGCTTTCGGACAATAAACATAAAGCAGCGCTTTGACTGGAAATGGATTGGCAAGACGATATATATGAGGATACGGTTTTATTGTTCTATCAGTGGGTCTGTGGACTGAGTATTGTTTTAATGACTGTTATAATTTGGTTATAATTAATTGCTACTGTTATAATTCTGTATGTATTTATGGTTTTATACTGTGTTATTGATTTGTGGCATCGAATTGCTGACTTTGTTAGCCACTCTGAGTCCCCGTCCCCCCCCCCGGGGGTTGAGAAGGGTGGGGTCAAAATGCTGTAAATAAGAAGTGTTGAGGGGAGCAGTAATGTCACGTTGTGCACCTACTTCCCAAAGGCGCAGCAGAAAAGCCAGGTTTTAAGGTTCTTTTTAAAGGTTTCTAGTGTAGGGGCTTTCCTGATCTCTCCAGGTAATGTGTTCCAGAGTTGGGGAGCCACAGGGGAGAAGGCTCTGTCCCTTGCGCCCACAAGACGAGCTTGTGAAACTTGTGAGCTTGTGAAGATGTGTTTCTGGCAGATGAGGGGTCCCTCTTTTCAGCAATTGGCAGGAATGCTTTTAAGAAGAGTCTCACCAACCTGGGACCCATCTGCACCCATCATTTAATGCAGTTCAAAGCCAGCTTCCACCTGTGGCTTACAGACAACAAACTCCTGCCAAAGCACACACCCTTAAATGCAGATCGGTGCTCTGGGATTGTGGCATCACCACCCTGGTTCCAGGATTTCTTACAGAACCATCTGCACTGCAAAAGCACTGCCTTGAATACCAGTTTGAAACTGCATTAAATGTTCAGTGCCATGACGACGACGACGATGAATGTATGACCCACTTCTCCCTGAGGCTCGAGGCAGGAGGGGTCTCAATGAGGGCTTTAAACCGAGTTTTCTGGGGGAGGGAGACAGCACTCATAAGATCCTTGAGTGGGAAGAGACCCCATGGGTCTTCCAGCCCAACCCCATTCTGCCAAAAGGCAGGACAATCACGTTAAAGCCCTCCCAACAGATGGCCATCCAAAAGACTCCAGACTTTGGATGATGAGATAGGATTGTTCTTGTTGTGTGCTTTCAAGTAGTTTCAGACTTAGGTCGACCCTAAGCGAGGGCCGGGTAAATGACCTTGGAGGGCCGTACCTGGCCCACGGGCCTTAGTTTGGGGACCCCTGAATGAATGCATGGAGTACTGGAAGCAAACAAGATGAGCTCATAATATTCTAGAGTGCTAGAAATATAATTGATATTGATATTGACAAGCTGGAATGTGTCCAGAGGAGGGCGACTAAAATGATCAAGGGTCTGGAGAACAAGCCCTATGAGGAGTGGCTTAAGGAGCTGGGCATGTTTAGCCTGAAAAAGAGAAGGCTGAGAGGAGACATGATAGCCATGTATCAATATGTGAGAGGAAGACACAGGGAGGAGGAGGGAGCAAGCTTCCTTTCTGCTTCCTTGGAGACTAGGACGCGGAACAATGGCTTCAAACTACAAGAGAGGAGATTCCATCTGAACATGAGGAAGAACTTCCTGACTGTGAGAGCCGTTCAGCAGTGGAACTCTCTGCCCCGGAGTGTGGTGGAGGCTCCTTCTTTGGAAGCTTTTAAGCAGAGGCTGGATGGCCATCTGTCAGGGGTGCTTTGAATGCAATATTCCTGCTTCTTGGCAGAATGGGGATGGACTGGATGGCCCAGGAGGTCTCTTCCAACTCTTTGATTCTAGGATTCTATGATAATAATAATCATAATAATCATAATAATACTTTATTTGTACCCCACTACCATCTCCCCAAGGGACTCGGTGCGACTTACATGAGGCCAAGCCCAAAATACATCAAACAACATCAATAACACAACATTAATAAACAATAAAATACAAATCATACAAATCACATAACAAAACAACTATCAATAGTGACATATAAACAGTTTTAAAATGGCTGGGCCAAATGTAATAGATTAACATTGAAAATATGCTGACGTGAACAGGTAAAAATATAACTGGATAGGATTTTAGGAGTCAAAGTCCCAAAACACCCGAAGGGAGGGCCAAATTTAGCCCACACCTGCCCTACAACCTGCCCACATCCCCCCACACCCACCTCACCTGGAAGGTGCGCAGCCAGTCCTGCAGCTCGGGGGGCGGGGCCACGGGGGGTACGTGGCGGCAGCGGGGTGGTCCAGCCTTTGCGTGGCGTAGGTCCCCGAAGGTGGCGGTGGGGCTGGCCACGCTGGGGCCCAGGACTCTATGTGGGGAGAGGGAGAGAGCATAGTGAGTGGAAAGGGGATGAGACCCCCGCCCAGATACACACACTGGGATCCCCCCCCCCTCCCTCCCTTCCCTCCCTTATCACCCCGGCCCCCCCTCGAGGCCCACCTTCCCCGCTCGGAGGCCTTGCAGACCTTCTTGTTGGGCGACTGGGCCCTGCCTTCCGGGCCGCTGCTCTCGGACTTGCGCTTCATCTGAAAGGCAAAGCGGGTCTCCTGGGAGTTGGGTCAGACCAAGCCTCCTCCCTCCCCCCGCATGTAATAAGCACCCTCCCCCCTGCATCCCCCCCAGGGAAGGAGGGTGATGGTGATTACAGGCAGTCCCCCAACTTACAAACAACTCCTAGTTAAGAACAATGGGGCTCAATCAACAGGAAGTGAGCGGAATCTGCCACTCAGAAGGAAAGGACACTCACTCCTAGAAGTTATTATCAGGGGGGAAAGGAGGCTCCACTGCTGAAGCTGTATCTCTAATAATAGTAATAATAATAATAATAATAATAATAATAATAATAATAATAATCGCTTTGAGTCCCCCCAGGGGTGAGAAAAGCAGTATATAAATGCTGTAAATAATAATAGTAGTAATAATAATAATAATCGCTTTGAGTCCCCCCAGGGGTGAGAAAAGCAGTATATAAATGCTGTAAATAATAATAATAGTAAAAATAGTAATAATAATAATAATAATAATAGCACTTTGAGTCCCCCCAGGGGTGAGAAAAGCAGTATATAAATGCTGTAAATAATAATAATAATAATAATAATAATAATAATAATACCCCAGGGGTGAGAAGTGGTATATAAATGTTGTGAATAATAATAATAATAATAATAATAATAATAATAATAATAATACCACTTTGAGTCCCCCCAGGAGTGAGAAAAGCAGTAAATGCTATAAATAATAATAATAATAATCCCGCTTTGAGTCCCCCCCAGGGGTGAGAAAAGCTGTAAATAATAATAATAATAATAATAAACAACCTGCTTTGAGTCCCCCCAGGGGTGAGAAAAGCAGTATATAAATGCTATAAATAATAATAATAATCCCACTTTGAGTCCCCCCAGGGGTGAGAAAAGCGGTATATAAATGCTGTAAATAATAATAATAATAATAATAATAATAATAATAATAATAATAATAATACCCCAGGGGTGAGAAGTGGTATATAAATGTTGTAAATAATAATAATAATAATAATAATAATAATAATAATAATAATAATCCCGCTTTGAGTCCCCCCCAGGAGTGAGAAAAGCAGTATATAAATGCTATAAATAATAATAATAATAATCCCGCTTTGAGTCCCCCCCAGGGGTGAGAAAAGCTGTAAATAATAATAATAATAATAATAAACAACCTGCTTTGAGTCCCCCCAGGGGTGAGAAAAGCGGTATATAAATGCTATAAATAATAATAATAATAATAATAATCCCGCTTTGAGTCCCCCCAGGGGTGAGAAAAGCAGTATATAAAAGCTGTAAATAATAATAATAATAATAATAATAATAATAATAACCGCTTTGAGTCCCCCCAGGGGTGAGAAAAACAGTATATAAATGCTATAAATAACAATAACAATAATAATAATAATAACCGCTTTGAGTCCCCCCAGGCGTGAGAAAAGCGGTATATAAATGCTGTAAATAATAATAATAATAATAATAATAATAATAATAATAATAACCGCTTTGAGTCCCCCCAGGGGTGAGAAAAGCAGCATAAAGATGCTGTAAATAACAATAACAATAATAATAATAACCGCTTTGAGTCCCTCCAGGGGTGAGAAAAGCGGTATATAAATGCTGTAAATAACAACAACAACAAAACAAAATAATAATAATAATAATAATAATAATAATAATAATGTATTGTCGAAGGCTTTCATGGCTGGAATCACTAGGTTCTTGTGGGTTTTTTCGGGCTATAGGGCCATGTTCTAGAGGCATTTCTCCTGACGTTTCGCCTGCATCTATGGCAAGCATCCTCAGAGGTGTGAAGTCTGTTGGAAGTAGGAAAAATGGGTTTATATATTTGTGGAATGACCAGGGTGGGACAAAGGACTCTTGTGATCAGCTAAACATCCACACCTAACTGCAGCAGGAAGAGCTCTTTGCCCCACCCCAGCCATTCCACAGATATATAAACCCATTTTCCTAGTTCCAACAGACCTCACTACCTCTGAGGATGCTTGCCATAGATGCGGGCGAAACGTCAGGAGAGAATGCCTCTAGAACATGGCCATATAGCCCGAAAAAACCCACAAGAACCTAATAATAATAATAATAATAATAATAATATTAGCACTTTGAGTCCCCCCAGGGGTGAGAAAAGCGGTATATAAATGCTGTAAATAATAATAATAATAATAATAATAATAATAATAAATCACGAAGTATTCAAGCGGAGAAGCCAACAGGAGGAATGCTAAACAGACAGCTGGGTATCATAGATTTAGCTTTTCTTATGCTTCCTTTTACTAGTATCAGGATTGCTTTCTTGCCTTGCACAAAATAAAACCGACTGGGAGCCTTCCGAGCTTAACAAAACACTAACAAAAAAGGTTTGGGAGTCTGCTTCGATTCTTAAATTTTTGAAGTGGGCCATGTCGACGCTTCGGAAAGACTACCGACTCTTAAAACTTCAGATTTCTTACGATTTCCAATTTTTACGCGTCATTTGCACACTTCGCGTGCCCATCCTTCCCTATGCGGTATATAACAACTTGTTTGTAAGTGGAGGACTGCCTGTATATCTATTTACATCCCAGATCCTTTCCTTTAAGGAGACTCAAAGGGGCCACAACATCACAACCAGCGCAAGTCACAATTTAAAAACAAATACATGTAAACATTAAATTAGAATTAACCAAACAATGGTTAAAAGACATATTGAGCCTAGCCCAGGCATGGGCCAGCTTTGGCCCTCACTCCAGGTGTTTTGGACTCCAGCTCCCACAATTCCTAACAGCCTACCGGCTGTTAGGAATTGTGGGAGCCGGAGTCCAAAACACCTGGAGTGAGGGCCAAAGCTGGCCCATGCCTGGGCTAGCCTGCACTTTTCTCTCCGTTGTCAATGGATGGTGTCTCAAAAGTGAACGAAAACAGTAGTCAAAATGTATGAAAGGGGCCTCAAGGTCTGGGGCAGGCTCATGCAGGGAGCCCCCAACCCACCAAACACCTGGGCCATAGAAAGAGGACTTTGTAGGTGTGCCCTCCCCCCCCCCCCCCCCCGGGACGCACCTTGCTCCTCCTCCTCCGGTGCCGGACCAGCCCCCCGCCCTCGGTGCGCTCCAGGTAGTCGATCCAGCGCTCGTCCACCGTGTAGTACAGGTACACGTCGTCTCCCTCTTCGGGGCCTTCCTCCTCCTCTTCCTCCTCCTCCTCCTCATCTTCTTCAGGACCTTCTTCCTCCTCCTCCTCCTCCTCGGAATCCGGGCCCTGCCGGGGGTCTGCTTCCACCGCATCGGCTTCTTCCTCTCCTCCTCTTCCTCCTTCTGCATGGGGAGTACTCTTGGAAGGGGGGGGGGCAAAGAAAGAGGAAGTGTCACAGCCCCTATTCCAGGCATGGGGCCCTCCAGGTGTTTTGGACTTCAACTCCCACAATTCCTAGCAGTGAGTAGGAACGAAACACCTAGAGGGTCCAAGTTTGCCCGTGCGTGCTGTATAACACTCTGGGCCAGAGTGAAGAGAGAGGGGGCCAGGGGACAATTCCATCTTGTCTCCTGTGCTATGCTAATAATATAATATAATATAATATAATATAATATAATATAATAACTAGCCGTCCCCTGCCAGGCGTTGCTGTGGCCCAGTCTGTTGATCTGGAAAATAAAGTAATGAGAAAGTCTTGCCTTCTAATCTATGTAATGTCTTTCTGCTTCTGGGTAAACAGTATTTCTTGCTGTTTCTTTGCCCGTGTGAATGTGGAGATTGTCTGGCTTGCCTACTCTGGAACAGGCAACATATCACAGCATATTATTTGAGAACACAGAAATGCTGGACCACTCTCACAACCACCTTGTCAGACTACACAGAGAAGCCATTGAAATCCACAAGAAGCATGTGGACAATTTCAACAGAAAGGAAGAAACCATGAAAATGAACACAATCTGGCTACCAGTATTAAAAAACTCTAAAATTACAACAGCACAACAACAGAGAGGAAGCAATCAGGCACAGCTAATCACCTCTCAACAAAAGATTGCTCCAGGCAATGCTAATCAAGGTGGTCAGTTGAAACATTCCCACCCAGCTCCGGCAGATAAGAGTCCTTTGTCCCACCCTGGTCATTCCACAGATATATAAACCCCTTTTCCTACTTCCAACAGACCTCACTATCTCTGAGGATGCTTGCCAAAGATGCAGGCGAAATGTCAGGAGAGAATGCCTCTAGAACATGGCCATATAGCCCGGAAAAACCTACAACAACCCATGCAACATATCATTATCCTTCTTTAGGGGTCCCTTTCCAATCTTTGATACTGTATCTGTCATATACATGTTTATTGCTTATTGTTATTTTCTGCTTTTGAGTTTTATTTAATTTTAACTGTTTGTATTGATTATTTGTTATTGCCTTTGTTTATTGATGTGCTGTGGGCTTGGCCTCATGTAAGCCGCACTGAGTCCCTTGGGGAGATGGTAGCAGGGTATAAATTTTTATTATTAGTATTATTATTATTATTATTAAACCCGGCATGGGCGGGCTCTGTTAGGAATGGTGGGAGTTGGGTGCAATACACTGTACTGTGCTTTTTAACATACTGTGTGTTAATTGGTTTGACTTCTTGTGTTTATGATGTTTATGTAGTTTAACCCTCAGTTGATTTTATTTGTTATTTCATATTTTGTTACGATGTATTTTTGTTATTGTCTGTTTATTATGTTGTATTATTTTGGGCTTGGCCTCACGTTAGCCGCCCTGAGTCCCCTTTGGGGAGATGGTGGCGGGTTATAAATAAAGTGAATTATTATTATTATTATTATTATTATTATTATTATTATTATTATTATTATTCAAGGTGCAGGTTCTTACCTACAAAGCCCTGAACGGTTTGGGACCCGCCTACCTGAGTGACTGCATTTCTGTATACGAACCCACATGATCCCTTCGATCATCTGGAGAGGCCGTGCTCACGCCTCTTTCACAGGCGCGATTGGTGAGGACGAGGGAGAGGGCCTTCTCGGTGGTGCCCCCCCCCGACTCTGGAACCCACTTCTAAAGGACCAGGCATGTCCCCACATTGGCAGTCTTTAGGAGGAGCCTGAAAACGTAGCTGTTCCAGTGTGCCTTCCCATAATAAAGAAATAATTCCCAGCAAAATGTCCTTACAAATGCACTTTAACTACTGGATTGCGTCAGACTGCGCTCCCCCCACTTCTTTAAAACCCTCCAACCAGATATATCCTACCTTGTTCGTGCCCAGCGTCTATTTTTTAAACCTTAAATTGTTGCATTTGGCCTGGCCATAGGTTTTTTAAATCCTCATGTGTTATTGTTATATGTGATTTACATTAATTTGTATTGCATTGTATTGTTTTGTTTATTGCTTTCCTGTTTTATTGATGTGTTGTTGGGCTTGGTCTCATGTAAGCCGCTCTGAGTTTATCTATATTATTATTATTATTATTATTATTATTATTATTATTATTATAAAAGTTTCCCTGGCCACCGCTGACACTTTGTTGACTTCTATTTCCTGATGTCCCCTTAAGGCAGGCCTGGGCCTTCCCTCCAGGGGTTTGGGACTACAACTCCCATCATTCCTAACAGCCCACTGGCTGTTAGGAATGATGGGAGTTGGAGTCCCAAACCCCTGGAGGGAAGGCCCAAGCTGTTTTTTTAAATTGTATTTTTGTTACTTTCTGTTTATTACGTCGTATTATTTTGGTATTATTTTGGGTTTGGCCTCATGTTAGCCACCCTGAGTCCCCTTTGGGGAGATGGTGGCGGGTTGTAAATAAAGTGTATTATTATTGGGTTCTTGTGGGTTTTTTCGGGCTATATGGCCATGTTCTAGAGGCATTTTCTCCTGACGTTTGGCCTGCATCTATGGCAAGCATCCTCAGAGGTAGTGAGGTCTGTTGGAAACTATGGAAAAAAGGGTTTATATATCTGTGGAATGACCAAGGTGGGACAGAGGACTGTTGTCTGTTGGAGCTAGGTGTGAATGTTTCAACTGACCACCTTGATTAGTATTTGATGGCCTGGAAGTGCCTCTAGCATTCTCTCCTGATGTTTCGCCTGCATCTCTGGCAAGCATCCTCAGAGGTAGTGAGGTCTGTTGGAACTAGGAAAATTGCGTTTATATATCTGTGGAATGACTAGAGTGGGACAAAGGGCTGTTGCCTGCTGGAGCTAGGTGGGAATCTTTCCACTGACCACCTTGATGAGCATTTGATGGCCTGGCAGTGCCTGGGGGAATCTTTTGTTGAGATTAGATGGTGGGAAGTGATTAGATGGAGGGAAGGCCCAGGCCTGTCTGAAGGTGAGCTGGGGTGGCCGTCCTACCCGTGTGGGGGGCGTGTCCTGCGAAGGGGGGCGTGGCCTGCAGGTGACCCTCCTCCGGTTGAGCTCCAAAGTGGAATGACCAGGGTGGGACAAAGGGCTGTTGTCTGCTGGAGCTAGGTGGGAATCTTTCCACTGACCACCTTGATTAGCATTTGATGGCCTGGCAGTGCCTGGGGGAATCTTTTGTTGAGAGGTGATCAGATGGAGGGAAGGCCCAGGCCTGTCTGAAGGTGAGCTGGGGTGGCCGTCCTACCTGTGTGGGGGGCGTGTCCTGCGAAGGGGGGCGTGGCCTGCAGGTGACCCTCCTGCGGTTGAGCTCCAAAGTGCGGCCTGTGACGCCCTTGACGCGGAGGAGTTCCTCCAGGCAGCCGAACCCTCGCAGCTCCTGCCCAGAGAAGGAGAGAGAGAGAGAGAGGAAGCGGGCCGTGAGGGGAAGCGGGCCTAGCTGGCCCTCCGAAGCCTCCTCTTTCCCTTCCCCGGCGCCTCACCTCCCTCTTGCGGACGATCCCGCGGGCCCTCCTCCTCCCGACGCCCACCAGCGCCCGCTCCAGCTCCGCCGCGCTGGCCCGGTTGATGTCCAGACGGCTCCCGACTCCCCCACCGCCGCCGCCGCCCTCCATCCTCGCCCCTCACGACTCCCACTTCCGCTCCCGGCAGCCACCGCGCAGAGTAAAGGAGGAGGAACAGGAAGCGCCACTCAGGACAACACAAAGCGTTTTATTGGTGGAGACGAGGGAGGAAGCCCCGCCCCCGGACGCACATTGGTGGAGCGAGGGAAAGAGCCCGCCCATCCTGCCCCGCGTGACGTCATCTCCGCTTGTAGAGGCAGGGGCGGAGCGCCAGACCCGGAAGCGCCTTCGCCTTGGCCGGAAGAGGCTTGGCTTTGCAGAACTCGAAGGAGAAGAAGTGGCTCCCGGAAACGTCCTGCATGCAACACAAACGCAAACACAACAGTGAGTGAGTCAGTCAGCCCCGCGCTGCCAAGTCTCCAGTCTTCAGCGAGGGCGGTTGGGGGATGTTTTGGGCGGCCTGGCTCTCTTCCAGAAGCATTCTCTCCTGACGTTTCGCCTCCATCTGTGGCTAGAGAGAGAGAAAGGGGGGAGGAGACCCTTCCATCTTGTCTCCTCTGCTCTACTAATGTAATATAATATGATATACTGTATGTACATATAATATGTATAATGTAATACAATATAATACTAATAATAATATGGTATTATAATTATATATTTTATATTACATGTAATATCACTAACAATATTACAATATAATTGCTAACATGGTTGTAAGATTTTTGGGCTGCCTGGCCCTGTTCCAGAAGCATTCTCTCCTGACGTTTAGCCTCCATCTGTGGCTAAAGAGAGAGAAAGGGGGGAGGAGACCCTTCCATCTTGTCTCCTCTGCTCTACTAATGTAATATAATATGATATACTGTATGTACATATAATATGTATAATGTAATCCAATATCATACTAATAATAATATGGTATTATAATTATATATTTTATATTACATGTAATATTCCTAACAATATTACAATATAATTGCTAACATGGTTGTAAGATTTTTGGGCTGCCTAGCCCTGTTCCAGAAGCATTCTCTCCTGACGTTTCGCCTCCATCTGTGGCTAAAGAGAGAGAAGCGGGCCAGGAGACCCTTCCATCTTGTGTCCTCTGCTTTACTAATAATGTAATATGATATATTGTATATACATATCTATCTATATATATAAATATGTTTGTTTGTGGGAGAAACATAACTCAGAAACCACTGGACCTAACAGTCCAACGAGTGTCCATCACGCCTAAACACACACCCACACACACACACAAAACCAACAGAACAGACTTAAAAACCTAAAAAATTACACCATATATGCATATACACATACACTCATATACATATACACATGCATACATTCATACACACATATATATGCACAAGCACACACAAATATACACATATACACACATACATATACATACACACATATATACATACACACATGCACACACAAACATACTTATATACACACATATACATGCACACATATATACACACAAATATGCATATAGACAAACACACATATATAGACAATATGCATATACACATATAAACACATGAATATATACGGACATATATACACCCACATATATATACGCAGACACACAAATATATATACACACATACACACATATATACACACACAAAACACATATACACAAACTGGACCACAGCAACGCATGGCAGGGGACCGCTAGTAATATATAAAATGTTGTTGTTGTTCATTCGTTCAGTCGTCTCCGACTCTTCGTGACCTCATGGACCAGCCCACGCCAGAGCTCCCTGTTGGCCGTTACCACCCCCAGCTCCTTCAAGGTCAGTCCAGTCACTTCAAGGATGCCATCTATCCATCTTGCCCTTGGTCGGCCCCTCTTCCTTTTGCCTTCCACTTTCCCCAGCATAATTGTCTTCTCTAGGCTTTCCTGTCTCCTCATGATGTGGCCAAAGGACTTCAACTTTGTCTCTAGTAAATGTAATACAATATAATACTACTAATAATATGGTATTATAATTATATATTTTATATTACATGTAATATTACTAACAATATTACGATATAATTGTTAGCATGGTTGTAAGATTTTTGGGCTGCCTGGCCCTGTTCCAGAAGCATTCTCTCCTGACGTTTTGCCTCCATCTGTGGCTAAAGAGAGAGAAGGGAAGCAGGAGACCATTCCATCCTGTCTCCTCTGCTTTACTAATATAATATGATATATTGTATATACATATAATATATAAAATATTATAATGTAATACAATGTAATACTACTACTACTAATATGGTATAATAATTATATATTTTATATTCCATGTAATATTACTAATAATATTACAATATAATGGTGTGTTACAATATAGTAATATATCATACTGATGTTGTGCTATGCTAATATTATAATGTAATCTATATAAATAAAAATGTCATGTTCGGTTGTGGGATTAACAGAACTCAAAATCCACTGGACGAATTGACACCAAATTTGGACACAAGACACCTCTCAGGCCATGCGGATTTCAATGGCTTCTCTGTGTAGTCTGACATGGTACTTCAACCAGAGAAGTCAGCCATAGCCGAGCACCTGAGGAACCACCCTGGACACAGCATATTATTGGAGAACACAGGAATGCTGGACCAATCTCACCACCACCATGTCAGGCTACACAGAGAAGCCACTGAAATCCACAAGAAGCATGTGGGGAATTTCAACAGAAAGGAGAAGAAACCATGAAAATGAACACAATCTGGCTGCCAGTATTAAAAAACTCAAAAATTACAACAGCAAAACAACAGAGAGGAAACAATCAGGGACATCTAATCACCTCTCAACAAAAGATTCCCCCAGGCACTTCCAAGCCATTAAAGGCTAATCAAGGTGGTAAGTTGAAACATTCACACCTAGCTGCAGCAGACAAGAGTCCTTTGTCCCACCCCAGCCATTCCACAGATATATAAACCCACTGTCCTAATTCCAACAGACCTCATTACCTCTGAGGAAGCTTGCCATGGATGCAGGAGAAACATCAGGAGAGAATGCCTCTAGACCATGGCCATATAGCCCGAAAAAACCTACAACAACACAGTGATTCCGGCCATGAAAGTCTTCGACAATACATGTTTTCACTTTCTTTCCGAAGGCCAGGAGGGACGTGGCTGACCTGATGTCGGTGGGGAGGGTGTTCCACAGCCAAGGGAGGGGCCACCACCGAGAAGGAAGGCCCTCTCTCTCGTCCCCACCAATCATGCATTTGAAGGAGGCAGAACCGAAAGCAGCGCCTCCCCAGAAGATCTTAATATACGAGGCGGTTCATACAGGGAGTTATGTTGTCAGTTTGCAACATTTACACCTGCCTCCAACAGACAAGAGTTCTTTCTCCCACCTTGGACATCATTCCACGGATGTTTCTATGTAGACTTCTCCACATTTTCCACATTTTCCTAGTTTCCAACAGACCTCACGACCTCTGAGAATGCCTGCCATATAGGTGGGCGAAACGTCAGGAGAGAATGCTACTGGAACCTTGGCCAGGCAGCCCGTAAGACTCACAGCAACCCAGTGATTCCAGCCATGAAAGCCCTCCACAACCCAATATGTCTACTGTATTATAAATGTATCACAATGGTACTGACACAGTTTATCTATAATATAAATAAAAAATGTTATGTTCTTTTGTGGGATTAACAGAACTCAAAAACCACTGGATGAATTGACACCAAATTTGGACACAAGACACCTAAAAGCCCAATGTATGTTCTTCACTCAAAAAAAATTGTTTTTGTCATTTGGGAGTTGTAGTTGCTGGGATTTATAGTACTTACTTACTTACTTACTTAGGCGATCCCTCGTTGGACGAGTAAG